AAAAGGCACAAATGTCATTTCTTCTGAGAAAACAATAATTTTTTATAAGTGCAGTAAATATATAAAGTAAAATTTTAAAAAATGAGGCTATATTTAAGGGGACAATGATGAATATTTTAAAAACTGTTTATTATTAATAAAGGATGCTAAATTTAAATAGTGTTGATATCCAATAGGATTAATCTACATAGGCTTTTCATATAATTTTTATATAAGCAAAATGAAAATCAAAAGATAAATGTCTAACTTCCCATCAATTTGTATTCTCCATTGACCTTCTCAAGTAGTAAAATCTGTTAGTATTATCTTCATTAGGGCAGAGTGGCCTATTTCACTAACGCAAGCTTCTCCCACAGCATGAGGAAAGTGAATTTTCTGTTCTTTATACCACCTCTTTTAGGTGACAAAGAGAGCTCTTTCTTACCATTTTTGAGGGATTGACAACCAACTGGGGAACTTCTAAGAAATCAACATTGAACATGGAGTAGACCCGACAAAAAGAGAGAGGCCTGCCTCACCTCACTTCGAGTGACCACAATCCTGACCAGGGTGGAGTCATCTGTGCCAGCACCTTTCATAGCATAGTAGAGCCTCTCAGCAAAGAAGGCAGGGCGGTTCAGGGCACACTGCACTGCAAGTTAGAGATGGTTGAGACATGGAATCATGATCTGACAAGAAGTGTACCCCTCCAGCTTCATTTATCACTTCTAGCTCGCCTTTGATTATTTTCTCTGTAATCATCTCAGAAACATGAGGTGAGTTAAGGATGTTCAGATGTTCTCCTCCTTGATTTTTTTTGAGAAGGCTCTCACTCTGTCACCCAGCCTAGAGTGCAGTGGTGCAATCATGGCTCACTGCAGCCTCCCAGACTCAGGTGACCTTCCCACCTCAGCCTTCTGAGTAGCTGGGTGTGAGCCACTGCCCCTGGCCCGACATTCCACTGTTAATACCAATGTGTTACTAATACTCCCCTTAGTCCTAATATCCATGAGAATGAAACTTTCACTTTGTTAGACATCTGTGTATTAGACCACCAGAAACTGGTTGTTTAATTTCAAAAAGGAAATGAGTCTCACTGGGCTGAGTACCTGAAATACCTGTTTTGAGGACTCAAACTGCTTCATGGTGATGCTGTGAGTTCCTCAGGGCTTTCCCTTTCTCTTTAAAGGAAGTGCTACAACTATCAGGTATTCTCGCACAGTTGTCAAGAAAGGCCTACAGATGAAGGCCAAATAATCCCCAAACAGCCCTGTTTGATCACAGCACTACCACTCATAGGAAATTGCATGTAAAAATACAGGATTGTTTCTGGGGGCTTGTCCAATAAAGAAAACAAAGAACAAAAAACAAACCCCAAAGGATTAGGAGGTCACCTACTGCCTAAGCAGATTCCACTTGGACTATATTATCAACATTTAAAGGGAACAACTATTCAAAGCTCCCACTCATTTAAAAACAAAATAAAGCAAAGCACAAAAAATATCTTACAGATGGTCTTCAAACCACTTTCCACGTATCCGGAAAACTCACGGCTCACACTGCTTAATAAATCTCGATTAGCCATCTGCAAACAAAATTAAAGGGTTAAATATTTTTTTTATCTTAAAACAGAAGCCAAATCTTCAGAAGAAAAGCTCATACTCTGGAATAAGCCTCCATGGTAGCTCTCAGCTGAGGAAAGCTTCTTGTGGCAAGGATCATGTTAAAGCAAGATTCATCGGTCCCTAGTCTCCCCTCACCAGCTTGATAGAGACGCTGAGCATCTTCCTGAGCCATTTGGTGGTTTACACTCTGGTTCTCATCACGATTTCCCTGCAAAAGAGAAAGGCAGAAATTGGAAGAAATAAATAAAAGTTCCACTTAAACACTTTTTTCCAATCTAATTCACTTTTGGATTTAGAGAGACAATTTATTTTATTTCATTTTTTTGTTTTTGTTTTTTGAGATAGGGTCTTGCTCGTCACTCAGGCTGGAGTGCAGTGGCACAATCACGGCTCAGTGCAGTATCAACCTCCTAGGCTTAAGTGATCCTTCCACCTCAGCCTCCCGGGCAGCTGGAACTACAGGCACAAACGACCATGCCTGGCTAATTTTTTTATTTTTTGTAGAGGCAGGGTGTCTCACTGTTGCCCAGGTGCTGTTCTCTAACTCCTGGGATTAAGTGATCCTCCCGCCTTAGCCTTCTAAAGTGCTGGGATTATAGATGTAAGCCAATGGGCCTGGCCTAAAGAGATAATTTATTAAAGATTAATCCATAATGTCTGTCATGCATATCCTTCATTTCTATGCATGGAAATACAACTAGTAATTTATTATACTGTCAACTGGATTTTATAATATAAGATCATGGTTTAATGAGGTTATGTTAAAAACGAGGGCTTTTGGGAGCTAAATTAAACCCAAATGTTTAAACAAAAATATCTCTACTAGGAAATATAAACTACCACTCAAATGAAGAAACAGTTCTCTTAGCTGGAATTTAAGATCAATATGCACTGTACTGAGTTCTACTTTGTATTCACTCACGCGACTAAGAGATATTAAGCACTTTCTTTGTGTCAGGCACTATGTTAGGTGGTAGGGACACAGGAGAGACAGGGTCTCTGCCCTCAAGAAATGTAACTCTAGGGCAGGAGGGAGGGAGGGTGTAATATGGAGGCTTCATAAACTTTCTTTTCTTCATCTGAGTATATTTTAAGAGACACGATTTCACTATGTTGCCCAGGCTGGGGTGCAATGGCTATTTGCAGGCATGATCATAGCCTCAAACTCCTGGGTTCAAGTGATCCTCCTACCTCAGCCTCCAGAGTAGCTGGGAATATAAGCTCACACCACCACACTCAGCCATCTAATTATAATCTTAATATATAGGTATTTACTATAAATACATGCATAAAAATGACACATGAGCTTTACAGAAGAAGCTACAAATAACTCACTTTCTGCTAGACTGTGCCTATTTGTATACCAACTCTTCCCTGGAATAGGAGAAAAGGAAGGAGGAAGGAAGTGTTTAAGCTTAGATAGGCAGTTGGTTTCTCTCAAAAACAGAAAGACAAACCCAAACAAGAAAAGGTTGCCTTTTAAAGTCTCAGGGACCATCTTAGGAACAAGATGGAAAGATGCTCCTTGCAGCTGAAGAACTGTCTTCTGAGCACCTGGCACAAGGAATATGTAGAGGCACATTCTACATGGGCGACTGAATATAACACAGGAAAAAGTACTCACGAAAAATTTCCCCGATTATTGCCTTTGGATTCACACACACTTTCCTAGGAAGTCACTCCTCTACTCATGCCCTGGAAAAGGTAGGGCTGGGCCTTGAACTCTGCATAGAGACTCAGCACCTCATGTAAAATCTTAATACTCGTTTTTTAGTATTGTCTGTTTTCCTTCTTGTTTCTTTTAAATCCTAACCTACTTCCCTTCTCTGTTACTCTGATGTAGGTAAATTCAATTTCCTTCAACCCATTTACTTTGCTTTCTCATTTCCATGTCCACTCACTGTTACACACTATCCTTTCCACACCTACCTCCCTTTTTATTTTTTTAGATGGAGTTTTGCTCTTGTTACCCAGGCTGGAGTGCAAAGGCAGAATCTCAGCTCACTGCAACCTTCACCTCCTGGGTTCAAGCGATTCTCCTGCCTCAGCCTCCCAGGTAGCTGGGATTACAGGTGCATGCCGCCACTCCTGGCTAACTTTTTGTATTTAGTAGAGATAGAGTTTCACCATATGGGGCAGGCTGGTCTCAAACTCCTGACCTCAGGCGATCCACCCGCCTCAGCCTCCCAAGGTGCTGGGATTACAGGCGTTAGCCACCACACCTGGCCCCTCCCTTGGCTCTTTAGAGCCCCTCCTCTCCTTTAGATCCCTCCAGATGGTCCAATCTTGTGCACTAGCACAATAGCCAGTAACTCTTGATATTGAATTAGCATGCTAGTCATTTACATAATCTCTTTCAAATACACCTTCATCATCTCATTCTAAGTGTGCTTCTTTTCTTTTTTCTTTTTTGAGGGCAGGATCTCACTCTATTGCCCAGGCTGGAATGCAGTGGTGCGATCACAGTTCACTGCAGCCTCAATCTCCTGGGCTCAAGTGATCCTCCCACTCAGCTTCCTGAATAGCTGGCACTATAGGCACATACCACCGTGCTTGGCTAATTTTTAAAAATGTTTTTTGTAGAGATGGTTTCTTGCCATGGTGCCCAAGCTGGCCTCAAACTCCTGGCCTCAAGCAATCCTCCTGCCTTGGCCTCCAAAAGTGCTGGAATTACAGGCGTGAGGCACCATGTCTGGCCCTAAGTGTGTTTCTAATGCCATTCCAAATACGTTGGAGTATTTTCTGTCAATTCTCCAGCATATCTGGGGAATCAAAATAAGGAAGGTGCTAATCACAGTTATTACTGGGAACCCTAAAACATTTTTCTGCATTTCTGGGTCTCCTCACAGAGTCCTCACTTCCTGTAGCACCTCTATGGCAGTCCTACACGTCTTCACTTGATGGTACGGCATAATGGGGCAGGATAGTGATAAGCTCAAGTGTATACTTTCATCCCCATCCCAGCCACAGAGCCTCGTATTGGTTTCTGATTCCATACAACCTTAGAGGTTAAATCTCTAATTCCTTACAAAAGCCAGATTTACAGGAATAAATCTCAACAGTAACTACAAAGAAATCTGTACACTGGTTTCTGTGTTGTCCTTCTGAAAGATGACAATATTGCAAGGTGGCTAAATATTAAAAGGAGTAAAGAATGCTCACTGGCAAAAGACTTTTAAAGTATGTTCCCTCTATCAACGCACAAGCATTCATACTGTACTTACCTGGCACATGGACACAAGTAAACGCTCAAAATGTCCTGATGTATCTGACCTAATGTCCTTTTCAAGGTCTCGTCCAAATTCTGACTGATAACATCTGACAATTTCTCGGATTTCCTGATTTGTTCTTGTGCACAAAATCTCAATCAATACACGTTCCTGAGTTCCTGCTCCCTACATGAAATGAAGGGAGGATTATACAAATAAAAATGAAATTTCTGCAAGTAATTAAATCTTAACTGCTTCATCAAATATTACTTTGTTCTCTAGAACTAAAAACTATACATTCAGATGGATGATGGGAAATAAAGAATTGCTTTAATTACCACTGTAAATTCAGAACTGCCATAATTTGTACAGTCTTACATATGAAATAGGACAAAATACTCACAACAAATGACATACAGTACCTGCATTGCTTTTCGTAAGCTCCAGGCATCGTAATACGTAGGAGGCATGAAGAGGGCCAGAATCAGTTCTTCCATATTTCCACTTAACTCTGATTTGAGATCTTTGATTAAATCCTATTTAATTACAAATACAAGCTAAGTATATGTGTTCTCCAAATTTTGTCACTTGAGTGTAATGTATGTACAAGCAGATCTATTTTATTCATTCTATCAATGAACATTTAATAAATTCTTATTCCACTCTACGAGGTACAAAAACAAGGGATATATGAAACAAAGAATTATTCAAACTAACAAAATGATAAACAGATATTTACTTAGTAAAAGAAACTGTTCTTGGTTCTATGAGGAAGTAGAAACCTTTATGATCTTGTTCTTGTTTTTTTGTTGTTGTTATTTTTTTTGAGACAGAGTCTTGCTCTGTCACCCAGGCTGCAATGCAGTGGTGTGATCTCGGCTCACTGCAACCTCCGCCTCCTGGGTTCAAGCGATTCTCCTGCCTCAGCCCCCTGAGTAGCTGGGACTACAGGCGCATCCTGCCACGCCCGGCTAATTTTTGTATTTTTAGTGGAGATGGGGTTTCACCACGTTGGCCAGGCTGGTCTTGAACGCCTGACCCCAATTGATCCACCTGCCTTGGCCTCCCGAAGTGCTGGAATTACATGCATGAGCCACTGTGCCCAGCCAATCTTGTTCTTATTTGGAAAGATACACATCTAAAATAATAATAATAATAATAAGGTAACCTGTACTCTAGCACTGGGTAAGTAGCATAGAAATAAGTAACAGAGAAAGTTGAAACAGAAAAAGTTCAAAGTCAGCTAGAGAGCTCAGAGAAGAATGTAAAAATTAGCACGCAAAGAGGAAGGAGAAAGGTATTTCAGGTAAGAAGGAATACCACCAAGGAACACAGAAGCGGTTCCCAGCCTTGACTCTTCATTACATTCATTTGTGGAGCTTTAAAAAAAACAAAACAAAACAAACCAAACCACTGACGTCCAGGACTAAGACTCAGAGACTCTGTGTATTTTTAAGTTTTAAAGGAAATTACGATGTTCAGTTAAGGTTGAGAATCACGCATATAGAGGCAAGAATGAGCAAAGCTTGTTCAATGGAACAATAAGACAACTGTTTTTGTTACAGAGGAAGGTTTTCATAATAGATGAGTTAAAACAAAGTTGTAACTAAATCTTGGATTATTACATTGAATGCCAAGCTAAAGAATGTGGACTTGATTCTGTTTGCTGGGAGGAACCACTGGAAACTTTTCATGCAAGAAAATGGCACTGATGTAGCAATAATATTCAGAATGGATGACGGTGACAAAGAAGCTATAGATGAAAACATTTAGGCTACTGGAATATTTAGTGAAGAGGTAATAAAGTCTTGGACTTGAGTGATAACAGTGGAAATGAGAAGAAACAAAGTAGACAAAAGAAACATTTTAAAGGGCCACTTTATAGATTAGATCAATAAAAACTAGTAAATAACCAATTGCTAGGACAAAGCATACAGAACACTATGACTGATAAAGAAAAACATGGAATCAAAGATGACTCTATAGCAGGCTAGAACAGTATTTTACTAATTAGGAAGTTAAGAGGTGGCTAGTGGTACGGAAATCAGATTGTTAGTTTTAACTCTAAAGCAATATATAAGAAAACTCGAGATAGCATTGTACAGCCTAGATAAAACGTTCATAACATGGCAAATATCTTTGTGAGAAAAGTGAGTCTGATGTTGAAGCTTAAGGAGATCTAGGGTTTATGTTGCATAAACAGTCACTGGGCTGGGCAGACAGGGAAAGGCAGAATAGAATAAGCAAGGTGGGACTAATCAATGGACCACTACACCATTCTGAAAAACATAAACTAGATGCAGAGAACATTAGGACATTTTTAGGATTCCTATCTAAATGACAAAGCAGGTCGGGCGTGGTGGTGCAGGCCTGTAATCCCAGCACTTTGGGAGGCCAAGGCCGGCAGATCACATGAGGCCAGGAGTTTGAGACCACACTTGCCAACACGGTGAAATCCCGTCTCTACTAAAAGTACAAAAATTAGCTGGGCGTGGTGGCAGACACTTATAATTCCAGCTACTTGAGAGGCTGAGGCACGAAAATTGCTTTTGCCTGGGAAGTGGAGGCTGCAGTGACCGGAGATCGTGCCACTGCACTCCAGCCTTTTGAGACTCTGTCTCAAAAAAAGTAAAAAATAAAATAACATAAAATAAAATAAATAAATCAATAATGCAAAGCAGTGTGCTATCCATGTTTTCCCATTATATCTGAGGAATAGTGGCATTTTTTAGCCATAGAATCTTGTTGGATTTAGAAACTGATAATCCATTCAACAAATATTAAGTGGCTACTTGCCATTATACACTTGGTACTGTAATACAAAGATGACTATGACCATGGTTTGTCCTATGGGAGCTCAGTTTTTGGGGGTGGGCCATGAGATTAGTTATAACAGAGGTTTTACAAAGTGCTGTGTACTTAATACTACAGTATTAAGAAGAAGCTAAATTCTGTCCAGACTAATGAAAGAAACTTCACAGAGTAGCTGATATGTAAGCCAAATCTTAAAGAAGTTGGCCATGAAAAAAAGAAAAGGTATTCAAGGCCAGAAGAATGGCATGTACACAACACAGAAGCATAAAAGATCATGGTGTGTACACAGAATGGCAAACATTTCCATATTATTATTTTTTTGATATAGGGTCTTGTTCTGTGACGCAGGCTACAGTGTAGTAACACAATCACAGCTCACTACAGCCTGACTTCCTGGGCTCAAGCGCAATCTTTCCACCTCAGCCTCCCAAGCAGCTGGGACTACAGACATACACCATCACACCCAGCTAATATAATTTGGTGTCATTGTTGTTGGAAATGAAGTCTCCCTATATTGCCCAGGCTGGTCTCGAACAGCTGGCCTCAAGAAATTCTCCTGCCTTGGTCTCCCAAAGTGCTGGGATTACAGGCATAAGCCACCACGCTCAGCCCATATAATTTTAATATAGGACATGTTTAGAGAAAGGGAGAGAAGCACAAGACGAAGAATAAACAAGGGCTATGTAATAAGCCTTGAATCCCACTGTAACAGGCAGAAGATTGAGAACCATCCTCTTGATCATGATTGTAGTCGTGATCTACTTTCTACTGAATATCTATCACATGTGTGACCGGAGTAAGGTATAATTATGAGATCAAGGACTACTCTAGAATGAAAAAGCCTTTTAAGAGAAATAGGCAGGGCACAAAGTGCTATAAACCCAGCACTTTGGGAGGCCTAGGCAGGCACATCACTTGAGGTCAGGAGTTTGAGAGCAGCCAGGCCAACATGGTGAAACTCTGTCTCTACTAAAAATACAAAAATTAGCCAGGCATGGTGGCGTGCACCTGTAGTCCCAGCTACTTGGGAGGCTGATGCAGGAGAATTGCTTGAACTTGGGAAGCAAAGATTGCAGTGAGCTGAGATTGCACCATTGCACTCCAGCCTGGACACTGCAGTGAGACTTCATCTCAAAAAAAAACAGAGAAATATATAGGGAATACAGTACTCTTGAGGTCTCTGAAGTCTAGTTGTCCCTTTTTTGCACCCCAGGTACTAATCAAAATATAGTATCCAATCTGACATGAATGCAGAGTCTACCGGTCACTGCTGGTGCTTACTCCAGGAAAGAAAAACATACCTTGCCATAAGAGGTCTTAAATGCTGCTTTAATTTTTTGCCTCTGATCATTGGAACGGTTGGCCACCACATCCACAATTGCCTGCTCGTCTGTCCCTGGAAGAACCACACATGTTTAAATAAGGACAAAGTATGTGCTAGGAGCTGCTTGAGGTCATTTTTTTTTTTTTTTTT